TCGGATTTGGAAGAGAATCATGAATCTTTATTTAGGGAAAGATGGCTGATTTTATTTCAGATTTTGGAGGCAATTATTTAGGGAAATAAAGCTGATTTGAATTAAGATTTTGGGAGTGATTACGAGAGCTTATTTAGGGTTAACTATGTTGTTTTATTTTCATTATGTGATTTGTGTTTTTATTATAGCTTTTTTTTGGAGTTGTTCCGAGCGGCACCTAGGGTTTATGGAGAATTGATCTACCTCTCTAATAGTAGATCAACTTGTATCTTAGTTTATAGTGTCAATACAAAATTCTTTCTCGCTGATTTATGTTGCGTTCTTTCTTTATTATTGTTGCTTTGTTGTGTGGAGATTGAATTCCTACCAAATTAATATCATAACACCATTTTTTTTGGACCTATGGCGGCTAAGAAGGTTGTACATTGAAGGAGAGGCTTGTTAGGGAACTTAAAAATTTTAACTCTAAATTCAGAGAGTAAATTTTAACAATTGAGGGCAGACTTTCGAATATGGAAGAAATTGTGAAAATGATGTTAGAGTTTCAAGTCAATACATCATCATTGGAGGCAAGGGAACCATTGGACCTGACAAGAAAGTAGGGGAAACCCAAATATTGGGACGATGAGGGAGGATTGAAAGGTAAAAATTTTAGGGGAAGAATAAGAGACGCCACCTTTGGAGCCACTTTCAAGGAGGGGAAAGGGTTGGTGGTGTTGCAGAGCTTGGAATGAGAAGAAGATAGGGAGAAGATAGGAGCACCAGACATGATTCAGGCACTCCTAAAAAAGTATTGAGAGGTGTACCAGTTAATTCTGAGATTGCCTCCTCTGTAGGAACACGAGCATGCTATCATCTTAAAGGAAGGAGTCTCACCTATAAATGCTCGTCCATACCACTATCCCCAAATCGAGAAGAATGAGATAGAGAGATTGATCAGAGAGATGCTAGAGGCAGGGATCATTTGACCCAGATTCAGTCCAGTGGTTCAGTAGCAATTTTTTTCAATCCATCTTGAGGATAAGGTGACTCTTTAGGAGGGAGTATTGATGGACCGGCCTAGCCTATGGGCTCCACTAGGGTGGACGGCGGGCAAGGAGAGAGGGAGGTCAAAGGGAAATTAATTACTTACCAGAGAAGATCAAAATTGGGAGAAAATTAGGAATGTTTATTTAGGGAAAGAGGGATAATTTGATTGGGAGAGAATTAGAAATATTTATTTAGGGAAGGAGGGTTGATTTGATTAGTTGGAAATTATGAATGTTTATTTAGGGAAAGAGGGTTAAATTGATTGGGAGGAAATTATGAAGGTTTATTTAAGGAAAAATGTCTGATTTGAATTCACATTTGGAAGAGAATTATAAAGTTTTATTTAGGCAAAGAGGGTTGATTTGAATTCAACTTTAGGAGGGAATTATTTAGGAAAAGATGACTGATTTGACTTCAGATTTGGGAGGGAATTAGGAGAGATTATTTAGGGAAATTAGGTTGTTTTATTTTCATAATGTGATTTGTGTGTTTGATGTAGTTTTTCTTTGGAGTTGTTCCTAGCGGCGCTTAGCGTTTGTGGAAAGCCGATCTACCTCTCTAATAATTGATCAACTTGTATCTTGGTTTTTTGTGAAGAAATAAAAAATTTTCTCACTGATTTCTGTTGTGTTTTCCTTCGTTACTGTTGTTTTTGTTGTGTGAAGATCAGATTCCTGTCAGCATGTTATTTTTCTTTTGTCTGGGATTTGAGTTTTACATTCATGGAACTGACCAGAAGCCTCTCTCGCTGACATCCCATAATGAAGCTCATAAGTAGTTGTGAGGAGGATGTCATACTTTTTTTTCATAATTGATTCAAGATCAGACACAAAAAGCTTAGACTGAGTCTGCTATGAAGGAATGGCATGATTTGATTCAGATGAGATGTCCGAACAAACTTCTAATTGAAAGTTTGAGACGTTAAGTTTGTTATTAACTTACTCCCTAGACCACACGTATATCTAAGGAGCAATATGAAATGGTTATTGTTGAATTGTAGGAGTTTAAAGCTCAGCTACATGAAATGTTGGATGGGGATTTTGTATATCCTAGTATATCTATTTGGGGACCATTTATTCTTTTTTGTGAAAAAGAATGATAGTTTAGATTGTATATTGATTATATATATAGTGAGGCGAATGCCCCATGCCAGCGAGGCGAGGAATGCCTTAAGGCGAGCTTCAGCCAATATGTGGCGTAAGCCTAATAAAAAAAAGCTCGAGGTGTAAGCCACGAGGCATTTTTCAATGGAATTGTGTTGAGACGAGCCTCATATTGCACAATTTTAGACAATGATCTCAAGCATAGAGACGTTCATTTTTTAAGTTGAGGATCAAATATCCCTCAAACTTGTCTCCTATAAAGGGGGTTACCAAATTTGTATTGAGTGGAAAACTTAAACCAAGATTCATTGGACCTTTTAAGGACATCAAGAAAGAAGGAAACATTATTTATCAATTGACTCTTCATTTCAGTTCTTATAGTGTATATTGTGTCTTTCATGCATCATTGTTGAGAAACATGTATCTAATCATTCTCATATGATTCAACATGAGCCACAACTAATTTGAGAAGATCTGCATTATGAGAAATTACCACATTGAATGACAGTTTCAAGAACTTCAACAACAATCTATTCATTTTGTGAAGGTAATCTAGTGAATCATTCTATGACCAAGGCTACTTGGGAGTCTAAAGAAGAGATGTGTGTTATATTCTCCCACCTATTTGTAAACAAAAGTATGATTCTATAAATGCATTAACTTCAAATTTGGGAACCAAATCCCTTTTATGTGGGAAGAATGTATATGAAAACAAATTTAAAAATTGTGAAATTGAAGGGAAAGAACAATGGATAAATAAATATCAGGCCATTTAGCTTAATAGCAAGTGCCAACAGAAAAAAAAAATCATGAATATATATAAAAGGGAAAGAAAAGTTGATAAATAAATATTAGGCTGTTTAGCAATCATCATAAATTAAAATCTAAGCTTAGTGTGTGTTAATCTTTGAAAAAGATGACATAGCTTATCTATCATACTTGATTATGTTTACACTTTTAGAGGTTTATCTAGGTATTCATATCCACAAGAATGAGAGTAAAACAAGATCATGTAAGAAAAGGCAAATCATTTCAATCAAAAAAGAAAGGTTTGGAGGATTAATATTAATATTTACATTTCTCAAAAAAAAGGAAGATGGCTAGATTATAAGAAAATTTTTGAAGAAAATAACATTTACCCTTTTGATAAAGGGTAGAATAGGAAGAAAAACATATAACAAGCTCAACTTAGTGGCAGATACATTCAAAACTAGTGTAGCAGCAAGGCCTAACCCTATTCATCATTCAAGACTAACATAGATAATTTTGTATCAATCATGTATATTTTATTTAACAAATTATCATATATCATTTGAGCATTATAGGTTCAAACTCCACATATGAATGAGGTAAAGATTTCTACTTCTAACAAATCTATCTTATTGCATCAATTAAATGGCAGAACAAAAATATTCACATAAGAACTAAACTTAGCACAAAAAACACTGTTATTAAGCTACGCCTAACCAACAACAAAAAATTATATTCATACTACTAATTAAATAAATCAATGAACCAAAAAATAACAAAAAAAGCTAGAAATATGTGTGCTGAGTGCATGCCCAAGCTATTTTGCTTGGTTGTCATGCAAAAAATGCGAGAGGTGCAGTATCCTTTGTCATACAAATTTAATTTGAGTTATACTTTGCATAATTGCATGCGTCTTCAAAAATATATACATGATTTCTAAAACTAGAATAATGATACAAATTCATTGGGGAAATATCAGTGAAGACAGAAAAGGAGGAAAGGTTAACAACCATATTTAGTCCATGCAACTGCTACCTCTATCAAAATTCCAAACAGGCCATCATGCAACAGTGAAAGACAAGCCTTAAAGGCTTATTTACATTCTCCACTGGGGGACTATAAAAGGTTTATATTCAACAGATTAATCCCACCAGGATACTTCTACCTAAGAAATCAGGGAAAATTGATTGAATGAGGCCAACAACAACATCAAGCATTTATCCCACTACATGGGGTCGGCTACATGAATCCTATTTCTCCATTGTGTCCTATTAAAGGTCAAATTCTCGTTTAAATCTAATAAATAAACTATCACACAACAAGCCCGATGCATTCCTCCACTTCAACCATCCAACTTAAATTACGCTGATAATATCCCCATCTATTTCACCATCACTCTGAATAATAGATCCAAGATATCTAAAACGAGTACTCTTATTAATGACTTGATCGCCCAAAGTCACAATCCCCTCACTAGGTCTAGTACTACTAAAATTACACTCCATATATTCTGTTTTAGATCTACTCAAGCGAAAATCTTTAGTCTATAATGTTGACCTCCATAATTCAAGTTTACTTTCAACTCCCTCTCTAGTCTTATCAACAAGATTTTATAAAGAATTTGAAAATACCTTCTCAAAATTGTACCAAATAGATAAAGCCAAAACAAACTATGAACTTTCTGTATGCTTGTCCTTCATCCCTTATTAGGGCAATGTTAAGGCACTCTTTTAGAATAGCAAGCATCATCATCGTTACCATTACCCTTATCCCAAATATTTGGTATTCTCTTTCCGAATAGGGTATAGATCTTAAAAATGGAAAAAAGTTAAAGATCCAATGTCAAAAAAGACCCCAAGATCTCCATCCATAGGAGCATTAACTATAACTTCAATACCCTGTCTAGAACAAAAATGTTGGTCATTTATCAATTTCCGTCGACTCATTCAATCGGTCAAAATTCTAGCACTGCACAAGTATCATTCCACTCATATTCAAAAACCAGCATGCAAAACCAAAACCACAAGAAGTCACAATCCCAGATCTGAAAAATTACCAAATCACCATATCCTCACTGACAGATCTTCTATCAATTTGAGAAACAAAAAAACAAAATACCTGAGCGCTTGCAGCTCCTCGAGGGTGCGCGGAAGCTTCAAGAAGCTATAATCCGATGGTGGCATCGAGAAATAGACGCCCAGAAGCCCGATCCCGAAGCTCACCACCACACCCAAACCAACCGCAACTTCCCACCCTGAGAGGGGAAACTTCGATGATCCCTTCCCCATTTCTTCTTCCGCTTTCTCCCCAAAATAGGGCCTCCGGTTGATAATGGAAGAGGAGAAAAGGAAAGAAGAAGGAGAAGAAGGATCGATCAAAGAGAGAGAGGGGGAGAGCGATTTGAGGAAGAAAACAATGCTGCTACGAAACGAAACTAGTTTTCTTCCATGAATCCCTATCCGCCGAATCCTCCGCTTTGCCCCCGCTCGCCCTCTCTCTTTCTCTCTTTATTGTCTTCACGATTTTATAGGACGAGGAATATTATTTGTACGCCGTGTTCGGTTACGTTAGTAAATGCGGAATTCCGTTCTTAATTTCTTATTGTGTTCCGGAGGTGCATTTGAAGAGATGATAGGGAATATCTGCTGACACGGTTTACACATTGTAGCAGGTGGCGTAGGACGATCATAACGTGTAAATCATTCTGCCTGAAGCGTGCTGATTTTTGTAGCCTATTGTCAAGCATTGTATTATAATATTAAGACTGCTAAATTCTTTAAAAAAAAAATATTGCTGCATCATTAAAATTTTATGAGCAAAAATATTAAACAAAATTTTAAATTAAATTTAAGATCAACGGATGTTAGATTTTAAAAAATTTATAGTTATGGCCATGACATCCTAAAAAATTTATAGACAGGTCCCTCTTTCCTCTTGAAATTGGGCCCCTAAGCCTAAGAAAAAAAAAGAGAGAGATCGGAGATCGCTCTTGCCTCCTTGTATCCTCGACCACCGTCTGGAGTTCCGCCAGACCACCACCTGACGCCCGGAGTTCCGCTGGACCATCACTTGACGCCCGGAGTTCTGCCGAACCACCACCTAACGCCCGGAGTTCCGTCGGACCACCATCTGACGACCAGAGTCCTGTTGGACCACCACCTGAAGCCCGGAGTCCCGCCAGACCACAACCTGATGTCCGAAGTCCCGCCAGACCACCACCAAACTCCGAGAGCCCCGCCGGACAACCACCGGATACCCAGAGTCCCGCCGGACCACCACCTGATGATCGGAGTCCCGCTAGACCACCACCTGACATCCGGAGTTCTATCGGACCACCGCCCCGACGCCAGAGTTCTGTTGGATCACTGTCCAATGCCGGAGTTCTATCAGACCACCGCCCGACACCGAAATTATGCTAAACCACCATCGGACTACCAATTGACGCCCAAATTTCCAAGTAACATCGGACTTCAAACGGACCATAAAGTGACGCCGGACTTTCATTCACGTTTGTCACTAGATTTCAATCATACGGTTGTCATTTGTAATATGATTGCCTTCAAGGACGATTAGGCACATTGTAATCTACTCGAATTTTAGTGGAATCATTTTCAGCTGGGCCAAATCCTATGATTTTTCTCATTTCCAGGATTTTCCATGTAAAAAATATTGTGTTCTCTGTGTGAGCTGGATTTCTGTGTAACGCTAAAATGTAGGGATATTACTCTATCACCGCGTATATTCTGGCCTGCAACAACACTAAATGATTTTAAATTTTGATTATATTTATAGGGCTTGCCACTCGATATTCATAAATATGCTCCCACTCTCTACATGAAAAGGACATTATGGCTTGAGATTCAAGGAGGCTCAAATGCGTGAAAAATATCATAGCTCCATTCAAGCATCACCATTGAACCACTCCGTCAAACCACCATTCAACTACTGCCATAGAGTCATCACCCAATCATTATCGCCCACCATTGTATGAATGTTAGCATAAGACCGTCGTCATCGCTAGATAACCATCAGGTTCGAACCTCCACTATCGACAAATGTTGCCAGACCCATGCCATCTAACTGTCGCAATAGGATCACAACCATAAGACCAACATTGTTAGACCACCATCGTCGGATTTCCATAGTCGCTACACCACCACCCAACCTCCATCATCAGAGTGTTACTACTAGACTATCATTCTCAAAACATTATGCATCATTGAAGTGTCATGCATCATCGAAATGTTATGCACCATCAAATTGTTGATGTCTAACCTTCATCATCGGACAGTCACTACCCGACGACCATTATTCAAATGCTATGCATCATCGATATGTTGTGCATCATTAAATTGTCGCTACCTAACCTCCATCATCTTACCACAACTTGATCACCATTATCAAACCAATGTGGCTCGACAGCCGCGATAAAAAATTTGCCACTCATGCACCATTTTCATACTGCCACTATTGAGTGTGCTTGTTAAACTATTGTCACTCAACCACTATTATCCAACTCCCACTGCCTAACTATCATTGTCAAACTATCTTCATTGTCCACAATCTTCCAAATGCCTAAAATCTCTCATCAAATCTATGTTTTTGCTCACCAGTAACTCATGCTCTTGTGATCCCATCTTTTCCAACTTGGGAGACAGGCGGATTTTTGTAATCTACCTTCATTGAGTGTAATTATTTAAGCTATATCATATTTGTTCTCTTCCAAAGTTTCCACTTAAAAACTCTTGGTATCTCCATTCTTTTGTATATGTTGGATATTCATACAAGACTAAGACATAACATTTTCTCACACAACTCCAAAATTATCTAGCATACAATAATTATTATCTTATACAATATAATTTATATTTTATCTATAAATAAATAAATAAATAAATTTGTACTTTTTTAAATTTAAAGGAGCTAGTATTAAGGCTTTTATTATAAAAATGCCCCTTGACTCTGAATTACTTTTGTTGGGTCCTAGAATAGTCGCGGCAGTAGAGAGATAAAAAAACTTAGTGCCTTGGCATTGAACGAAGATCTAGCACACATACATATAAGAGAGAGGGGTGTAGGAGCTATAAAAGATACCAAGATTTTTACATGAAAACCCTAAAAATGAGAAAAACCACGTAGTCTTGCCCATATGAAATGAATCCACTAGTGTTTGATGTTGATTAAAAATGGTACCCTCTCTTAAGGGGGAGGATGCATTGGCTCAATGTAGCATTATATAGAGTATATTACATGGTGTGAGTTGGAAGAACGTAGTGAAATGAGAGTTGTTCTTAAGAGAGTGTTGACATATTCGTTCAGTCAGTAGGATCATAGTTGGGCGATGAAGGTCGGAGGTATCATAGTCGGTGGGTGATGGAAATTAGAAGGGTCATGGTTGGCGGGTGATAGAGGACAAGGGGATTGTAGTCGGCAGACGACGGTGGTCGGAGAGATCCTAGCCAACGAGCGATGGTGGTCAGAGGGATCCTAGTCGGCGGGCGATGTTAGTTGAAGGGACCGTAGTTGGTGGGCGACATATGTCATATAAACCATAGTATAAGAGCAATGGTGGTCGAAGTAGACCATAGTTAGCGAACGACGGAGGTCGGAGGGATCGTAGTCGATGGGCAATGGTAGTCGGAGGGATTGTAGTCGACGGGCAACAGAAGTCAGAGAAATTATAGTTGGAACAACAACGGTGGTCAAAGTGGATCATAATATGCAAGAGATGGTGGTCAGAGGGATCATGGTTAGCAAGCGACGTTGTTCGAAGGGATCGTAGTTAGCGGGCGATGGAGGTTATATAGATCATGGTCGACGAGCGACGATGGTCAGAAGGACCGTAATTGGCGGGAAATGGTGGTTGGAGTGAACTGTAGTCACTAGGTGACATGGTTGATGAGCAACGATGGTTGGAAGGAAGTCTGCCAGCGGTTGGTGTCTAGGTGGAAGTCTAAGCCTCATACTCATAAGAACTTCGGACCTGATGCATGACAAGCTGGGAGTCACTATCAAATTTGACCTTCTTTGTGCCAACCTCCTTGACCAGCCCAAGTGCCACTTTTTTTAGATAAACCATCAACATAGAGTGTCCAGATGGTTGGTTCGGCCGCTTCTTCTGGCTGAGGCACTGTTGACTCCTTTTCTTTAGTGGTGCATTCCACTCCACTAAGGAGTCTGTTGAGACTTGGGCTTTGCTGGTCCACCTCCTTTGAAAAATCCCTTATCTAAGAAGAAATCCTCCTCTGAACTATAGTCCATTGACGATGTCGCCAGACAGGTTTCAACAATCATCTCCCTGACGTATTTTTCTTTTGCCGGAGTTATTGGCGCTACTGAAATGACTCGACAAACTTCTGTAGGAAGAGGATCCTCATCAGCTTCCTCTGCTTCGTCAACCTTGAGCTCTGACATAAAGATAAAGTCAGCGAGCTTAATAGGACGTCTTGCGGTCTGGTAGTATTCATCCAAACTGTCTATAACCCTTTGGGTTGTTGTTTTCTTCTCCTTGGGCTTCTTCAGTTTGGTCTTCTTCTTGGAGGACTTTTTCTTTCCAGACTTTGAAGTACCAACTTGGTTGGAAAATTGTTTAGAAGTAAAAGCTCGCACCACGGGCAGAGCTTTGGGATCTAACACTGGTTCCGTGGGAGATTTCCATTTCACACATGGAACTCCTTCAAGCTGTTTCAACATCTTCACAGTTTTCTTGGAGACCGCAGTCTCCCACTGCTCTTCTTGAGCTGGCTTCTTTTCATCTTTCTTTTCTTCAACCGGGGGTACGGGAGAAGTCGTAACTACCCGAGTTGACTCTTTTCTGGGGTGAGACAACACATTGTCAGACAACGTGAGCTCTCCTCTTCGATATTTCTTCTCCAGCCAATCTTTGAAGACATAGCAATCTTCAATTGGATGACTAATTACCCGATGATATGGGCAGTAGTTTGGATCGCCACTGTGTTTCGACTCCTCGGGCCTCTTGCATTCAGGCAGTTCTAAGCCCGCCTTCAACGCCTGTCGAAAGAACTTTGCGATACTTTCCCTCTGAAATGAATATTCTTTGTTCATTTTCTCTTTGAGGGAGGGGAACGTTCGATCACCAGTTCCCGTTGTTTGCCGCGGACGTTCTCCACCACCTTGATAAGTTCGTGGCTTATCATTACCCCCGAGTATCAACTTCGGCTGGGGTTTAGAGTTGTAGGCCTGTTTAGGCTTTTCTTGATATTGCATTGGCTGCTTGCCTTTGTCTACATTATATGCCACCTGTTTCTCCTTATCAGCTCTAGAGAAAAATATGGAGTCAGCCTCGCCTCTTCTAGCACCTGAGGCTTTAGCCTTCTTGGGCTTATCAGAGTAACCATCTGATTTTGATAAGTTCAACTTTTCAAACTTTGCCACTCTGTCTAGCAAATCTTGAAATGTAGTGATGGTAGCCATGCACAGGAATGGTTGCATCTTGTCATCAATGTTTCCCATTCACAACTGTACGGCATGCTCTTCCTCAAGCTGCTGCTCACATTTCATAC